GATTCTCAAGGCACTTGCCTTAAAACCGTTCCCCCACTCTTATTTTTGTTAACCGTTGCAAAACTTCCAAATTTGAAATACAAAGCACTTTGGTAATTTTCATCTTCAATATTGAACATGTAAATTAAGGGCAATTGTAAGGCCCCTTCGAATAGCCCACAAAAGGTAGGGATGCAACTAAGAGACCCAGACTCGAAGCCAAGAAAGGAAGAAATCAAGCTAACGGCTTGATTGATAAAATTATGGCAAGAGAATCAATCAACCAATCAGTTGGGAAATCATACCAAAAATACACAAAGATGCAAGGAAAGAAGAATAGATCATGAAGATTTTCCTTACTTGAATATATTCTGTAAATCCATGTAAACCCTAGGGATCCCTAGGTATAAATATCTTAAAGCACATGTATAGACTCATTCATACTCTCATACTCGAAACTATTTTACAAATTACTTAATAATATTCTCGTCTTTTCTGATCAAGGAAGCTGTCCTTACTCAGTATTGCCATCTTAACTCTTACTTTGTTATTAATCTTAAGTTCTTTATATTTCTATTGTTCTTTGTTATTTTGATTGTTTTTACAGGATTGACTATTAATACCCCTAAAAACCTTAAGCAAATTCCTAGAAACCACCCCTCTAAAATTTGTCCTAAACACCATGCATATTTCAAATTGGGTGATGTGGCATTCTCTTGGTGGAAGTGAGGGGTGACTCGTAGCGTGTATTTTTAATTAAGGATATTCTCAACGGTGACCCCCAACTTCTTCTACGAACCAACAGTGACCCCCTTTTTTTTAATTATACAAAATGACACTTCTTATATTTTTTGCCCTAATGATGACATTAATGATGGTGTTTTAACATAAAATTAAACCATGGTTAACCAAAATAGCGAAATGACATAAATTCCCCCTTTTATTTCACCCAACCGTCCGATTTTAATTCCCTCCATTTATCTCTCTTTCCTTCTTTCTCCCTCTTCATTACTCTTCATCTTCTTCCTTCTCGTAGCTTTCCCATCAAAAGGTTCATCGAGACACAAAAAAACGCAGAGCATTGAATGCGAACTCTATATACCATCAAAAATAGATGGTGATAGTCATTTTTCTTCTGGGTTGAAGTAAAGGGGGATTCAAATTTTTTTGATTTCAAAAATTGCGACTAGGGTATTCAAGTTTGGGCTAAGAATCGGGGGTACCTGGTGAAAGATCAAATCTTTCTGCATCATCTTGCCTAAAATAAGTTCAGGTATGCATCCAAAACCTTAATTTTTATGTAACGTTTGAGTTGTGCATGTTATGTACTCTGTTTTGCATGATCGGTTTTTTGCATGTTTTATGTGGTTGTATTGAAGTATTATGCCCTAAATTGAAATTTTGTGTTGTCTTGTTTACTGATTTTGTGTTGTGGACTTTCTTTTTTGTGTTTGTGCCTGAAATATGGTATGGTGTTAGAATGAGTGATGCGGTGGTGTTGAGGTTTCAGTATAAGGGTGTTGAAGTTGATATGGTAGTTAAGGATATTGACACAGTCAATCTAGTTGACCTAGTGATAAAGTATTGGGATAAGGCTGTTGAGAGTAAGAAACCAATTCCAAAACATGCTAGTTTTGCTTATGTTCACAAATGAAACATGTGGACTTGATTAATGATCAAGACATGATGAAAATGTTTACTAACTTAAATGGAAAATACCTTATATATATATATATATATATATATATATATATATATATATATATATATATATTTATATGGGTGGGTGAGGCTAATTCACCAAATGAGTTACTGAAGGCTGCTAGGACTTTAAGGGCAAGTAGGATAGCTGCTGAGTTGAAACAAAGTGTGGGACAGTTAGGTTAGATAGATAGTGATCCTGAAAAAGGAATCCCTAGGAGAAGTCTAAGGAAGCTAGGGGGTAGTTCAAGTCAACCTGTGATAGATGTTGAAACACCTAAGAAACTAACCCCTAGGAAAAACACTTCATCCAATGTCAGAGAACCTGTAGACTCAGTTCCAGACCCTATTCCTGAACTTATGATGAGGGAGATAATGAAGCTTATGATGAAAGTGATGGTGAACCTGTTGAAAACCCTATAGTTGAAATATATAATGCAGTACCTAGTGATGATACCTCGGCTGATTTGATGAGGGAAATGGAAGAAGAACAAGAATACATGAGTAGGGGGAGAGGAAGAGGGAGGGGGAGACCTAGAGTGAGAGGTAGGGGTAGAGCTGAGGGGGAAGAAGCACCTGTCAAGCTGACAGGAGGTAGGATATGGCATAGTGGACCTGGAATAGACTTGAAGGCATGGTATAGGAAGCAACCGGAGAATGCAGTAGAGACTGGGGCTGAGAGGTTGGCTAGGGAGAGGTATAAGAAGAGAGAAGAAGAGATGAGGAAAGAATTAGGGTTACCACCTATAGAACAAGCCAAACCAGTCCAGGTACTCAAAAGAAGTCCAAGAAAAAGGTTCCAAAGTGAGTGTCAGACAGAAGTTAGGATAGATGTGATTGCACCACCTCTGTCTGAGATGAATGTTATCACAAGGCAAGCTTCAGGGCCCTCTGGGGAGATAGTGACATCTTCTAAATCTTCCAAGACATCTGACACACTTAGTAAAAGAACTCCAAAAACTACAGCTAAGAGGAGGGGATTGATTATCAGAACAAGTTCTGATGGAGCAACTGAGCCATCAAACCAACTTACTATGAGATTAGGTGAAGATGAATCTATTCTGAGTGATGAAGGGGATGGTGGTGAATTTGATTATGAAGAAGTTGAAGATCAAGAAAATGAAGATGATGTAGAACCAGTTGTTGACAACTTTGATCCTTGGGAAGGCCCTGTGTGGGAGAATGATAATGAAACTGAAGATTACTTTGTAAAATTGTACAAAAATGGAGAGTTGTACAATGATGAGGAGTTTGGCAAAATTTTCATCAAACCATGGCAATTATTCACAAATAAAAAGTATTTGAGAGATGTTATGAGGGATTACTGCATACAAAGTGGGTTTTCTATAGTTGTGCTCAAGGCATCTAATTTGAGGTGGACAGTTAAATGTTTTGCAAGTAACTGTGAGTGGAGGCTGCATGCATCTAGGCTTCCTGATGGTGTCACATGGGCAATCAAGTCCATTCAAAACATGGAGCACATTTGTTCTGGTTTAGAGGTGAAGAATCCTATGGTGTCTACCAAGTGGGCTGCAAGAGTGTTGCTTGAGGATATAAGAGCCAATAATGATATCCCTGCCAAATAATTGAACCAGTTACTCTGGCAAAGATATGGAGTACAACTGTCTGCAAGTACTCTATACAGGATGAGGTCAAAGGCTCTGAGGAATATTAATGGGGGTCATGACATCTCATATGCCCAGCTTCCTGAATACTGTGAAATGGTGAGATCAACAAACCCAGGTTCTTCTGCATTTTGTGCTTGGACACCTTAAGATCATATTGACAGGCCTCTGCAGTTCCTAAGTATCTTCATATCATTCAAAGGTTGTATAGATGGGTTGCTAGCTAGCTGTAGGAGCTTCATCAGTGTGGATGGGGCTCACTTAAAAGGGAATTATGGTGGTGTCCTATTATCTTCAGTAGCACTGGATGCAAACAATGAGCTATTCCCCTTTGCTTGGGCAATTGTATCAGTTGAGAACATAGATAATTGGAAGTTCTTTGTGTGGCATTTGAAGCAATTGCTCAAAGATAGTGGGAGAGGTGATGAGTGGTGCATTATCTCAGACAGACATAAGGTATGAAACTTAGCCTCAATTTTCTTTGTTAACTTCCTTGAGCATTTCTTTGTCTTACATCTATCTTTTTTTGTAGGGTATTGATGCTGCATTAACTAAGTTATGGCCAAAGGCTAGAAGAAGATATTGCTGCAAGCACCTGGTAAAGAATTGGAAGAAACCATTCCTTGGTCCTTTGATGTTTAGCCTATTCTAGAGGGCTTGTGGGGCCTATTTTGAGTTCACATTCAAGAAATCCATGGAACAGCTCCAGAAGGTCAATCTAGCTACTTTGATATGGTTGTCTAAAGTTGGGGACCAATCAACATGGACCAAGGACAAATTCAATGAGGCTATCAAATGTGATGTAAGCAAAAGCAACTTTGTGGAAAGCTTTAATGCCACATTGGGTATGGACAGAGCAAGACCTGTTCTGACTTTGTTAGAAGGTAACATATTCGTTGTTATGTACATGTAATGTGTCTATATTGGTGAATGATATTGGGTTTTGTAGAGTCCGACTCTACGCGAAAGAGAAACCTGCCCAAGACCCACCCACTAATTAAGACAACTAAGCATGTAATCACAAATTAAACAACAATTAAGAGAGAGAAGGAAACGACATTCATACCCTTGCCACGTGCTTTGCTCGAATCCTAAATCTTACATCAAAACTTGAACCCCTTAAATACGAAGGTCTCTAACGGCTCGTACCCATGAACCCGACCCCAACAGTCTAAGTCCCGAAGGTTAGTCTAGACCCGACCAATAAAAACTAGAGTTTTACGAACTTAAGGTTTTCTCATTTTTAAGGAGATGCCTTTTTAGTTCCACTCAAGTGTTCTTCCCAAATCCCAAAACCTTGGTATTTATACGGAAATGAACCTTGATTTCCCATTCACAATTAATGTGGGAGATTTGCAATTTTTCCATTTTCTTTTAATCAAAACAAAAATAAAATTCCAATTCAATCAATAAGTTACAAGTGGCACAAGGAGGATGAGAGATTAGGTGAGGACCATTTCCAAGGGGGGGACCATAGCCTTGCTCCCTAAGGCAAAGCTCCAACCCTTGGTCCCCACAAGAAAAACCGGCCCTCCCCTCTAAGTGGTTGGCTGGCAGCCTGCCTTGGTTGCCAAGGCTGCCAGCTAGCGCCTAGCAACAAGGCTTGGCAGCCTGGTCAGCCAGCCAGCACACTCGCACAGCCAGCCAGTACATGCGTGCTGCTAGCGAGCACTAGTAGAAAAACTGAAATGGGCACCGCCAAATGCACACCGGTTTTTAATAACCGGTGCGAAAAAAAATTGTCAAGATTGAGGGAAAGAGTTTTCGCACCGGCTCTAATCAAATCAGTGCGAAAAGTTTGTTTTTCCCACCGGTTCTTACAAAACCGGTGGGAAAAGTGAGTAAATCGCACCGGTTCGGTTCGAACCGGTTCGAAATCTATTGTTAAATATAAAAAAAAAACGGTCAATCTTCTTTCTTTCTCTTTCATTTCCTCGATATTTCCTCCTCTCTCATCTGGCTCTCTCTCCTCCATTGAAGGGTACTCGAAATTCTCCATTAAAGGGGCTTCTGAGCTTTCTCTCAGTACTTTCCTCAAACTCCTTCTCTCTCCTTCGATCTCCTTCTCCATAACTGTCAATTTCCCTTTCCTTTCTTCTTTCTTTCGATCTCCTTCTCCTTCTCTGTCCGAAATAGGCTCAAATCGAACATGTTCGTATTCTCTGCTCCTTCAATGTTCCTTAACGTCTCCTGGTTCGTTTCTCTTTCTTCAATTTTTATGATAATATTTGCTGGGTTTTGTAATTAGGGTTTCTAATTTGACTCTGAATCTCTGAAATTGTTTTTGGGATGATATTTTAGAATACTGCGAATACTCTTCATGGTGGGAGTTGAGAAGGCGTGTCCTTGTGGATTGGGGAGTTGTTTGGTTCTTACTGCTAATACGGAGCGTAATCGCGGTCGGAAGTTTTTTGGTTGCCCTAATCGTCAGGTTTGTGAGTTTATTTCTAATTAGGGATTTTGATTTTGTGAGTTTATCTTCTTTTATATAATTTATTTACATTCAATAAATATGAAAATATTCCATTATTTAATTTTTGTGGGCATTTGATTGTTAAAGTTATCTGTTCTTGTAAATTGTTTAATAATTATTTTCTGCATTTGAAGTACACAACAATGATTTATACAGTTCATATGTTTTGGGTTTTTGTTATTTTATTTTTATTTTTTTATTTGAGGGGAATGGTACAATTTAAACGGTCATGATAGATTAAGGTGCATGAAGATACTAAGTACTGATTAAATCTTCCTTTAATAAACTAATTGGAACTGAAATTCTAAATATGACCTAAATTATTACATTTTTCTGTAATTTTTCTGTAATTTTTTTGTCTAAAAGGGTCATGATAGACAAATTATTAAATTTTAGCATGACTTTAGCTTTAGCTAGCTCATTATGTGATTGTTTGTATTGCTTATATTTGTAGGAATGAATCTCAGATGCATTGCTGTCTTTGATTTGGTTAGTCGGCGTAGGATCAAATTTATGAAATTGTCGTATGCCTATTTTGGGGAACCTGATTGTCCTGATATTGTTCATACTGCTTTTAGTTTGTGTCGTACGAAGGATCGCTTGTGTGCTTGGGCTTATTATAATGGTGGATATGTAGTTGATATGTGGATGTTGAAAGAATATGATGTGTGGGAATCATGGACCAGGTTGTTTTGTGGTGATATGAGATGTGAATATTGGAATTTTTTTGGACTTACCAAGGCTAGAGAGGTTATGATGTTCCATTTTAATTGGCTAGTACTTATTGACTTCAGCCGAGTTCCACTTGAATCGAGGTCTGTTTGTTTTGGACACCAAGTGACAGCTTTGAATTATGTTCAAACCCTTGTATCACCTCATACAGTTTTTCTTTACGGTGAACAGAATGGATGACATACATTGGGAGAATTAGTTGCTCGTGTGTACACTGTGAGAATTAGTTGCTCGTGTTGGTTCATACATTGTGAAAATTAGTTGCTTGTGTTGGTATATACATTGTGAAAATTAGTTGCTTGCATTGAGTCGTCGAGACAAACATTGTAAAAAAATAAGCTATTTGTGTTGATACTTATGTTGTGAAATTTAGTTTCTTGTGTTGATAAATACATTTGTTATTGTTGTTATCCCATTATAAACCTTATCAGAAATGATAATGCAAATCTGCAAATAAGACTAAGCTACTTGTCTCAAATTATAAGACAATTTACCTGAATATTGCTATCATGAGCTGCAATGAATATGAGTTGTTTTCTTGATTTTATTTATATCATGTGTTTCTCCTATCTATTTTACTGGAGATATGATCACAAAATGGTTCAACTAGCACTTGCTAATTTGCTGTTATAGAAAAACCAGAGAATGTTTAGCAAAATCGAGTTTTGAGTATTAGAAGTTACAAGCAAATTAACTAAATTTTGAGTTATTCACAGAATACGATGTTAGTTATAAAAAAGGATTTTGTAAGACCATTATGATAAATTCAGAGATCAGTCTCAGTGAACAACATTGAACTGTAGTGTGTGCCAATTTTGCTATATTTAGAACAAGGAACATAGATATTTCACATAGTATCTGTTTGTGCTCAGCAACAGAACTTGATGAATGATGAGGCAGTGATCATTGTGCTCTATTGCTCTTATGCAAGGCCAAGTCGTATGTTTATATAGTGCGTCATCCTTATATAAAATTATATAGGCTTATCATGACTGACTAATTGCATGAATAGAAAATCTCTTTGATATGATGAACTTTATTGCAAATGGCCTTGCATTATCTTGTGACTGTCGTGACTGGATATATTTAGCAGCCTAATTTTCATGACAAAAATACATAGTTCCCCAACCATGTTCTGCAGTGGTCCAAACAATCAGATCTAAAAGGCAGCATTTTTATATATTGCAGATTAGTATGTTATATGTAATGGGTGTAAGAGCTCAGATACCATATTGTCGAAGGAAAATCGACTCTTCTTCCTCAGATGTGAACAGGTTAGTCTTACATTGAAATTTGTTGCTTTCCTTTTGGTGTACTTGTTCAGTTTTGACTTGGTTTATTGATATTCTTGTCTTTTTGCATGAGCAACTTATGTATTTCTTAAGTGCTTTTTTGTTAAAGCTGTGTGAAAGGCCTATGATGACTAGTGGTATTTTTGAGGTCTTGTCAATATGTGCCTATGAAAAAACTATTATCCGAGTTCTGAGGCCTCATCCCAACTTTTGTGTTTTCTTGAAACCTTGCCATGGGCGTAGGTCCAGCTTTTGATGGTAAACGTTCTGAAGAATCTGACAAAATTATTGAAGAATAGCAATAGCAATAGCAGTGAAATTATACAGAGGTAATTTCTCTCAACTTGGTATATAGGTTGTGTTGTAAATTGTAGACAATAAAAGGCTATAAGGACTATTTTAGGGTGGCTTGCCCATAGTAACACTATTTAGTGTAGGATGACAGTGTAATTTGTTCCTGATTTTAGTGCTTGCTGTTTTGTTTTTGTACTATTGGCTTTCTATTTAATTGTGAAATTGTTGTGTTACTCTTTTCTCTTTGGTTATATATAGAGTGGTTTGGTTTTGGAGAGTCTTATTGTCTTCTCTTCATTTTCTTTTGGCTGTAAGTATACGGTGTTTCAGAGGCAACTTTTTTTTTTAATTATACAGTGTACTTTAACAAATGAACTTTGATTACTGAACCTATATTAAACTAAATCTGCTAATTCTGGACACCAAAAACTGAATAGATTTCAAACTACCCTACTATGATGCTGGACTTTATAATCATATTGGACTGTACAGTGATACTCAGAATGATGCTTGCTAATGATAATTTAGTTTGAAAAATTCAGACTTTACTATTTATTGGTTAAAATGGTTTTTGTTTGGTGCATTTTATATGATTTGGCTACTCAAGTTACAAATTAGGTTTGTTGTTGTTTAATTTGTATAGTATGGCATTGAATAGGAAAGATCTAATTTGAGTACTGTGTTATCAGGGGGTTCGTTTTATTAAGCTTTTGTGATGATTTGTTCCTTTGGTTGTTTTTCCGGTTTGGTTTGCTTAGATTCCTTTATTTTTCTGAGACATTAAACTATCCATTCAAATTTCAGAGGAAACAGTTCACTATTAAGCTTAGTTTTGCCATGACTATAAATAATGCTGAAGGCCAATCTCTATCCCAGGTTGCCCTATATTTAAACACCCCTTGTTTTTCACATGGACGGCTTTATGTTGGTCTATGATCAGAGTTGGCTGCAGGTATGCTTAATAATTTACCTTTGCTTACAATTCCTACCCTTTTCCCTCTCCCTTCTACTATTAAAAAAGCTGTTTTCTTCAGCCTTAGTTTTCTATATATAACTGTATACATTCTCTTTTTGAACACTATACAAATGCTCTCAACTTCAATTCTAGATTGAAGAACCCTCTAATTTTGTAAGCCTTGCTAGCTATTTCTTTGCAATGATTACCCTAATAATATAAAGAGGTCCAATTACTGATGTCATCTATTAAAAGCTAATCTTAGATGTATTTTAAAAAAAGATATGTTGCCACTAACACATGCTTTCTTTCCTTCTTACAGAAATAGAGAAAATCGATTTATAAATGATGGATTTAGGAGGGAGTTAGCAGGATTGACGATATAGTGATTTAAAATGCAAAACACGTGGCTTATAGGTGCTGTAATACAGAAGTTCATAGATGAACTTTTAATCAAGTAGACAAATTATTATTCATTCAGATTGGACCATCAGATCACATGTTCTTACAAAGCAAGGAGTTCTAACATGGGTTTACAAAGCAAAGCAAGCAGTAGCAGAATAGCAATAGCAGAACAGCAAGCAGAACACAAAGTAGCAGAAGCAGAACAATAGTAGCAGAAGCAGTAGCAGAAGCAGAACAGCAGTAGTTATGATATCTTGGCTGTGATAGTTCTTGGAGTTATCGGAGGTGTTCTGGGCAGCTTTTATAATTATCTTTTTGACATGCACTATCGTTCACAACGTTGTAGCACCAGGCCTAGCAAAACAGCTATATGTTTTTTTTTCAGTTTTTAAAGTGTAATATACAAGTTATTGAACAAAATATATATGTTTTATGTATATTAGTATTATATATAAGTATTTGGTACAATTTAAGTGAAAAAAATGAAAAAAAAAATTTATTTTTTTGAAGCACTTTTGGCACCGATTTTGGAAAAGAACCGGTGCTAAAAGATTTTTTACAATATTTTTTTGAAGCACTTTTGACACCGGTTCTCCCCCAGAACTGGTGCGAAAAGTCATTTTTCGCACTGGTTCAAAACCGGTGCGAAATGTATGGGGTTTTAGCACCCCCCAAATCCCCACCGGTTCAAAACCGGTGCTAAATGTGTGGTTTGAACCGGTGGGGATGACGTATTTTTGCCTAGTGGAGCCACGCATGCTGGGCGCTCCTGCTGTGCGAGGCACAACGTGCTGCTGCTTGCTAGCACACACGCACAGCCCAGCATGCCTAGCACGCTACTGGCTGGTGCGTGTTGCTTGCGATGCTGCGAAGCACTAGGCCGCCGCTATGCGAGGCCCAACACGCATGGTGTGCAGCGATGCCTGCCACAGCTAGCACGCATGGTGCGTGGCTGCGATGGCTAGGCGCCAGCACGCTAGCAAGCACGCAACGGCTGTGATGCTTGCGAGTAGTGCTAGGCCATGCTTTGCGCCAGCGCCTAGCATGCTAGCAAGGCCTAGCCTTGCGTTGGCTGTGCGCATGGCATGCTAACACGCACGCAAGGCTGCGATGCTTGCGATGGCTAGCTACCATGAATGGCCCTAGCACGCCTAGCATGCTAGGCTTGCGGCTAGCATTGCGGCGCATATGCTAGCTCGAGATAGCCTAGCCCTCGCATGGCTATGCCAATGCGAGGCTACGGCCTAACTTGAATTTGTAACTTGATTGATTTCACGTCTCGTCGAATTCTAAATTCGACTCGACTTGCGACGCTCGGTCTCGACACTCTAAGCTCGATATCCGACGTCTTTGTTCGTAAAACTCTGACGACTCATCAAATCCTTCGGATTGATTTTTCGTCTCGGACCTGTTGTTCGATCGGGTTCGACCTGAAGGGTTCAATCAAGATTAAGCTGTTATATTAATTGTACATTAATATTACTGATCGGAAGCGGCCTCCACCTAGGCATTTTGATCACTTGACCTTACTGAAGAATTAGCTTTCTAATAATTCTTAACCCTCTATCGGAATAATACACTTGTTGGAAGGACACCATTCCTTTCAATCTCCCACTTGTCCTTCGGAACAAGTGTGCAATTTGTGTATAGCCCTTTTCCTATGTCGCTTAATGTCTCTTCATGAAATATAAGGTAAGATTCTTCGTCATCCTTATTACGTCCAGAAGTGTTTCTCGATTCCCGAGTTTGACTGTCAATAAACAGATGATTTCTAAAATCCATCTGAGCACGGCCATGCATTTTCACAGCCTCGCTCTTCGAGAGGCCTTGTAAACAACAAAGACACGTTCCTATTGTTAATAGGGGGACATTCCCAGTCTTGTACTGTAACCTTCCCTTACTAAGAGGACCTATTCGCCTGAGTGTTGCCGTTATAATCCCCATTTACGGCAGACGTTTGACAACATCAAAACGACTAGTACTCAAACAAGAGAACTTGCAATACTCATGGTCGAGGAAAAAGGTTCCGATAACTATAATGAGAAATATTCTTATGACGATTTGGTATCTCTTAAAGTATTCTCATAGGTCTACCCGGTATAGTTCCAAACTAGTACTTATGCAAATGATTTATGACTATTGTTTCGGGGTTTTCTGATGTCCTGCGGGAGAGTTACAATTCCGAGACTGGAACCGGACGCCTGTACCTGCAAAATAACGGAGACTCCTGAGAGCTCCGCCTCCAACGGTCAAGTTAGTACCTGATTAAGGAGTAATTAATACGGAAATTAAAGTAATAAGGTCTCTCTAGGTGAGAGTGCTTAGTGTTGGTAATCTGCTTTGTTAGCGAGATCAGCCGGTTATTACTGTGTGTAATTAATGTATTTTTTCTGTAATCTCTGTGTTATTAGAGTTCTCTCTCTTTTTCTCTCCCTCTTCTTAATGAGGATTAAGAAGAGTATTTATAGTCTTGAGAAGCGTGCCCATCCTAGGTTTAAGGTAAACCTAGGGCTGATCGGGCCTCTAGACTGGATTGGGCCTTGATGGCCGGTTTTCCCATTTGGCATGGGTGGACACGCGGCGTGCCTCGATTGGTCCGCAGAGGACGTATCTATGATTGACACGTGGCAGGCTCCTATTGGCCTACGTGAAGGACACGTGGCGGAACCTGGTTGGTCCACTTGTCAGACGGTGATTGGAGGATAAAAATCCCCTAATCATTTGCCCCTCACAGGTGGCACGTGACTGGTCACGTGTCGCCTGTGACAGGTGTCGCACGGTGACAGGCGACGGCCTGCTACAGGTGTCACCTTGCAAACGGCCGGGAGATTTTCCCGCCCACATTTTGAATTTGGAAGCGACCCTTCGCCTTCTCACTTTGCCTATATAAGGAAGTGCTGACTTCGGTCATTTTCACATTTGAGAACTTTGCGAGAACATTCGGACCCCTGAACTTGCTCTGACATTTCGGACATTTTCTGCCTACCGCCTGTTCTGACAAGCCGACTGACCCGGATTTCCAGAACTTCATCAACCGTCACTCGTTCAGGTAACTCAGTTCTCTTACTCTTAATTTTCTTTTTATTTTTTGAAATGGCACCACGGAAGCACACGACACGACCTAAGTTAGTGATCAGCCGGTCACCGGGGACGGCTGAATCTAGGACTAGGAGTGCCGCCTGCCCTTTTCTGGACCCATCTTTGCCCTTTATACAAAGTCCGACTGTATCTGTGTCTATGCAGAACGTGATGGCCAGAACCAAAAAGACTGCCATGATATCAAACTCAGACGGCTCCTCCCAAAGGGTGCTCCTTAGTGAAACATCTGACCAGGCGCCAGATGTAGAATTGAAACGAGGCGGCTGCCAAGCCGACAGTTCTGAAAGAGGGGGCAAGGTGTTCCCTTCCCATCTTACCGTTGATATGTCTAACTTTACTCCTGCTCCTTCTAAGGGAGAGGAGGCGGGTCCCTCTGGGAGAGGGGAGGAGTCGTCCTCTTCGGACTCGTCAGAGGACGAGTCCGAGTCCAGCTCTTCTGGCCACAGTTCTCCAGGCTCAGAAGAAAGAAACAGTCGCCTACATGAGGCGAGGCTTTCTCATGCAGTTGAGAAGGGGAGCAATTGGGCGGAGCCGTCCGCCTCTTACAGAGAGGAAAACACCCCCTATTACTGCACGGTACCCCGGGGCCGGATCGCGGCCATGAAAGACAAAGTGGAGAGCTTTATAGCTAACCATAGAATGGGTCCCGGATTTTTACTGTTTGTGCCGGATCCAGAAGACACTGTCGTCTGGCCGGCTGGTACCAGCTATGATAACGGCTGCTTTGGCTGCTATGAGGCGGCCATCAAAGCTGGACTGCGCTTCCCATTACATCCGGCTGTTCAGCGGATTTTAGATGGGTATGATTTGGGGTTATGGCAGTTAGCCCCCAACTCTTGGGTAAACGTACTCGGCTATGTGGCCGGGTGCGAAATGTACGGGGTGGAGCCAAGCTTTGAGGCTTTCGCCCACATGAACTATCTCAGCCGGACCCCTAAGTCGGGAGGTACCGGCTGGTATCAATTAACGAGCCATAGGGGTTATCTCATGACGAGAGGTAAAGCGAACAAATGGAAGGATTGGCGGAACACCTTCCTTATCATAGAGGGTTCAGACACGGAGCTGAACCAACGTTTTAACAAGTGGAATAGGGATCCGCCTCTTCTCGCAGGCGGCCGCAGCATGCCGCCTGTTCCCCCAAAGGCTAAAAGAGAGATCATAGACAAAGGACTCTTTAAAGTAGAGACTAGGGTGAACCCTACGTCAGGGGTACGAGAGCATGTACCCCTAAACTGCGTCCCGAGCTTCAAGTGGCTCTATGACGAGTACTTTTTGGCCGCCTGTGGCCTCAGCAGTCGGTGCTCTAGAGGTAGCCGGCCTGACAAATACTCTGCTTTTTCACGCCTTGTTTACTTGGGATTTTTACTAACTTTGCTGTTTATTTCTTGCAGCTGACGCCATGAGTAAAATAACAGCATCCAAGACTGCGGCGGCCATGTTGCGGGCCTCGCTCATGCAACAGTCTTATGCCGACTCCCCCAACAAGGGGGCACCCTTGGTAAGCTTCGAAAACTATTCCTCTTTTAGTTGTCTTTTGCATATACTAACTCTTTTTGTTTTCAGTCTGGCACTCCAAGGGCTTCTTCCTCGCAACAGCCGGACCCCAAGGCCCGGAGGACGACTGTTGCAAGCTCTCCTGGGTCTTCCAGGAAAACTGTGGCGGCTGAGAAGCAGCCGGCCACTTCTTCAAAAACCCCGGCGGGGCCGCCTAGAAGTATGGACCCTCACTTGTAAAAACTCACTCTTGCTTCCTTCTTGACTAGGTCTAACTTGTTTTTCCTTTCGCTTAATGCAGCCGGCCCTCAGGGGCTTGACTTGGTTGAGGTAGCCAAGTCCATGGTTAAAGTAGTTCCTCCATCTGAAAGGGAGGCGGTCAGGGGTGCCGGCACCCTTGACCTTGATGGGATTTCAGGGATCCTTGCTGAGGTATACTTAGCATATTTTTGAGTTTTTGAGTTCCAGGACGCCTGTTATCTTTTTTGTTTGGAAGCTGACGCCTGTTTTTCTTTGTACTTAGGCCCTGCTCCGAGTCAACAGCCTTCGCAAGCCGATTGATCGGAAAAACAAAGAGGTAAAGGCCGCCAAAGCTATGGCCGCCTCCAACTGTGATAAGGCAATGTTTGCAATTGCCCAAAATGAAGTACTGACAATTGATCTTCTTTATTATCAGGCGCAGGCTACCGCCGCTGTTCGGGCTCAGTTAGAGGCGGCCCAAAAGAAGGTTGACGAGCTGGAGGCGACCGTCACAAACCTTAAGGCCGAGCTGAAGCCTCTGCGCCAAAAAATGCACTCTTACGAGGCCATGGAGAAATCTTTGGCCAACGTAAAAGAACGCCTG